CACAAGAAGCTTGGGATGTTCCTTAGAAGAATGAAGTAGGAAGTGGCTTTATGAAGCCCCCATTTTGTGCTTTCCGGATTTTGAATCCAGTTCCTAAACAATCTTCATACAGTAGGGAATTAATAGGTATTTTCGAACCTCTAGTAGGCTGGGGATCAAACTAAGGTTATTTTGAAGCTCAGTGTCTTTACCCACTGCTCCATCTTGCTGGCCCTAATTGTGAGTTTTGATGTTGTTTGCTTTGTGATATGGGGGCTCAAAGCCAGGGACATCTCCCACATCCCCACACTCTTCCACCGAGTGACACCCCCAGTCCTGATTAGTTCTTAGCATCTTTGGGCTCCTTCCTTAAATGTAGCAATGGGATTGGATATAAGATACGATGAATATTCATGATATGATATTGTTGTGAAGGTTAAATACATTGCTAGATGTAAATTTCTTGCATATGGTAAGGACTCAATAAATGGTAGTTTTCATGGGGATTATACAGTGTCTGCCACTGCCATTGACAACGACAGCTGGGATGGTGTAGTTATCCTCAGGCTCTCCCAGTCCCCTGGGCCAGAAGAGGCATCAAACCCTCTGGAACTGGAACTACAGATAGGTGTGAGTTACCATGTGGGTTCTGGAAATTGAACCCAGGTCCTCTGCAAGAGCAATAAGTGTTCTTAACTACTGAGCCATCTCTTTGGCCCCTCTGTTGTTTGATTTTTATTTGAAACAGAGTCTCACTTTGTAACTCTGGCTGGTTTGGCTTCAAGCTCACAGAGATCCATCTGTCTCTGACTCCCAAGTGTTGCAATTAAAGCCTTGTGCCACAATGCCCAATGTGTTATATAATATGTATCTTTAAGATGTATTTATTTTAGCCAGGTGGTGGTGCTTGCCTTTAATCCCAGCACTCAGGAGGCAGGTGGATCACCTTGAGTTCAAGGCCAACCTGGTCTACAAAGCCACACAGAGAAACCCTGTCTCGAAAAATCCACCCCCCCAAAAATGTTGTATTTATTTTTATTGTATGTGTATAGATGTTCTGCAGACATGTATGCCCGTGTGCTATGTGTGTGCATTGCCTGTGGAGGTCAAAAAGGGGGCGTCATATTGCCTAGAACTGGAGTTATAGGTGGGTGTTAGCCACCATGTGGGTGCTGGGAGTCAAACCTGGGACCTCTGGAAGAGCAGCCAGTTCTCTTAACTGCTGAGCCATATCTCTCTCTCTCTCTCTCTCTCTCTCTCTCTCTCTCTATATATATATATATATATATATATATATATATATATATATATATATATAATTGAATGAGTGGTTCTCTTCTTCCGCCACGAGGTTCCTAGTAATCTAACCAATGTCATGTATGTTGGGGAAGTCCTGTGCATTTGTCAATAAAGCACTGTCTGGCCAATTGGGAATCTAGATAGGAGGGACTAGGAGTCCAGAAGGACCCTGGGTAAGAGAAACACGAGAGTCAAGATGTAACGCCATGGGGTAGGAAGCCCGGAACTATTCTCCGGTAAGAAACATACTTAGATTAACAATTATGGGGTAATTACTTAAGTCAGAGCTAGCCAATAAGAAACAAGCAAGGCCAACAGCTTCATAATTAATATAGCCTCCTGTGTGTTTATTTGGGACTGATGCAGCTCTAGAACCAGGCTGGCGGGAAGGCTCCTCTCAAGGAAAAAGCTTCTCTTTACACATGTACATTGAGCCATCTTGCTGGCAGCCCCCATGTTTTTCTAATGATGCCACCTTCCAAATGCCTTCACTTCTTTCAATTTTCCATTGATTGTATCCTCTGGTTCCTTGCTAGCCTATCTTTCCAACCTTTACGTACATATATACATGTACACACATGGAGCTGAGGACTCTATCACTGAGTTAAGTCCCCAGCCCCTTTTTTGAGATTGTATTATTTCAAAAAGATAGCCTCATCATTCGTCTTTATATGGAATTCAGGAAAAGGTTGCTATACTTATCAGCTCATTATAGTACTAATGACTTTTCTTAAAAAGAAAGCTTAAGGGACCTGGAATGATGGTTGAGGAGCACCAGCTGCTTTTGCAGAGGACCTGGGTTTGATTCCTGGCACCCACATGGCAGCTCACAGACACCTGTAACCCCAGTTCTGGGGATCCAGTGTCTCCCAGCTTCTGAGGACACTGCACATACATGGTTTACGAGCATATATGCAGGCAAAACACACATAAAATTAAAAAAAAATAAGGTAGTCTTTTCTTTTTACTGTTTTAATTCTTATTTATCCAATTACCTTGTCCATAACTTAATAAGGAATCAAGGGGGAAATGTCCCAGATGTGGCCCGCCACCAGCCAAACAAAAACCCTTGCCACAGAGGCTGGGGTGTAGTTGAGGTGGCAGAGTGCTTGCCTAACATGTATGAAGCCCTGATTCAGTGCCCAGATAAACCAAGCAATGTAGCACTTGCTTGTAATCTCACTAGGTCAAGGAAGGGGGGTTAAAAATTCAAGGTAGGGGCTGGAGAGATGGCTCAGAGGTTAAAAGCACTGGCTGCTCTTCCAGAGGTCCTAAGTTCATTCCCAGCAACCACATGGTGGCTCACAACCACCTATAATGGGATCTGATGCCCTCTTGTGGCATAAAGGTGTACATGCACATAGAATACTCACATAAATAAATCATGAAAAAAAATAGTTCAAGATAATCCTTGACTACATGGAAGCCAATCTGGGCCACACAAGACCATCTCAAACAATCATTGGCCTCTTAGCTGGTTTGTCAAATCAAGGCATTAGTAGTAAAGTTTAATTTCCCTTCCAAGCAAAAAAAAAAAAAAAAAAAAATTTCCAAGTAAGATGAGGTTAGACCTAACAGGGTAACAAATAAGATACTTACCTGGGATCTTTTCACTGAGAAGAATACCGGGAAGACACAGAAGCAGACTAAAGGTTGGAAAGACTTTGTGCTAGCAAGGAACCAGAGGATACAATCAATGGAAAAATTGAAAGAAGTGAAGGCATTTGGAAGGTGGCATCATTAGAAAAACATGGGTGCTGCCAGCAAGATGGCTCAAGGTAAATGATGCTGGTTAGATTACTAAGAACCTCATGGCAAAGGGAGAGAACCGCTCATGCAAATTGTCCTCTGGTCTCTACATGATCCATGGCATGTGCAGGCGTGTGTGTATGCTGTAGGGACTTAGTGACTCTTCTAAACTGTCAACAGACATTTCCTTGAGGGGACTGGAGAACTGGTTTAGCCTTAAGAGCACTTGCTGCTCACATGAGGACCTGAGTTCAGCACTCATGTTGGGCAGCTCACAACCACCGGTAACTCCAGCTCCAAGGTATCTAACGCCTTCTTCTGGCCACCAGAGGCACCGCATGCATATGCACATACACACCCATAAGAAATAAATCTTTAATGCAAACAGTTTCCTTGAAGATGAGACAGACTAACTGTGCTTCACAGGGCCACTTCAATCTACCTTTGCCGTCACTTCCTCCTTGCACAGACAGTAGATTCTGCCTTCTGGAGCTGTGTGTGCCACTTTCTAAATGTCCCAGTTGTATGTGTTTGATTGGTTTTTGAGATTCTCTTTTGAACAACCTCGTTTCCTGGTTTAAAAAAAAAATCCTTTCCACTGCTTCCTCTAGGCTACATGCATGTCTTTTTTTTTTTTTTTTTTTTTTTGAAACAGGGTTTCTCTGTGTGGCCCTGGCTGTCCTGGAACTTGCTCTGTAGACCAGGCTGACCTCGGATCCAGAGATCCACCTGCCTCTGCCCACCGAGTGCTGGAATTAAAGGTGTGTGCTACCACCGCCCGGCTGCATGCCTTTATCTAAACTGTAACTGCCTCAGGTGGCCATGGGTTGTTCATCTGTGCTGTACTGTGTGAGAACTGTTCCCCACTTTCCACCTTTCAGTAAAGAAACAAGTGTCTTGTGCCTGTCCTTCAGGTTATCCTAGGAAGGTTGAGAATGAAGCCTCTCCACTCTAAAGAACTAGAAACTACCAGGACCCCATCTTGTAAGCAGCGTGTGCTGTGGGTAAGCACCTGGACTTCATCCATTGGCTGGGCTGACTGGCCAGTGCCTGATGCAAGGCCCTGCTTGGCTTTGGGATAGGTGCTAGAGATCCACTCAAACCCTCATCTTGTACAGCAGCCGTTTTTACCTCCCTGTGACTGCAACTTCACAACTGCCATACTCTTCAAGATGGAATGGGAAAGGGCCAAGTAAATTACTGCTTGGGTTTGCCCTGACTCAGCACATGCTTGGTGGCTATAAACCTTTGTTTCCAGAGTTTGGACAAAGTGCTAAATCTTTCACTTGCTTTTTCAAAGCCCTTATCTACTAAGGCATTCTGGTTTGCTTGACTTTGACAAGGTTTTCCTATGTATTTTAGGCTAACTTTGAATTTATGCTCCTCTGCCTCAGCCTCCCGGGTTCAAGAATAATGAACCCTTGTCGCTACCCATCTCACTGTCCCGTTCACTGGTTATCGCTCTTGGTTATTTGAGTGTCTGACACTGCACACGAAGATTTGTAGAGCGAGCTACTTTATGGCTCTGGGTATTAATTTTGGTTTTCATTTGCTTGCCAGGCAGTTAAATTAGTTGTACTACCATGCCCAGGGAACTTTACAATGACTAACAATGACATGAGCTGTACTTCAGGTTGTTTACCTATTATCATATAGAGAAGGTGTACGTCCTTGGAGTACACTGGAAACCCCCTTCTTTGAAGGTAACTTTATAGAAGCTTGTTTTAGTAGTTTTAATGCCACTTGCTTACCTCTATAAATATTGCCAAATAAGAAATTATGGGCAAGCAAGTAAAGGAAACAAATTTCAGGGCTGGAAAGATGGCTGAGAGTTTAAGAGCTCTGGCTACTCCCGTAGTGGCCTAAAAATTGTCTTAACCCCTTTCCCAAGGCTTCTCTGGCCTCCAAGCACACCGAGCATGAAAGTGGACCACAGACATACAGGCAGGCAGAACACCCATACACAAAAAAAGTAAAAAAAAATAATTTAATTTAAAAATTTTACCAATTATAGATTTACCAAGAACATGTTAGATAATATCCACAGATTTGTTTGCAGAGAAATTTATCCATTATTTTTATTAAATTAACATTTCTGTGTCTACAATGGGCTGGAGAGATGACACAAGGAAACTTAATTTCTTGAAGTAGCATTATTTTCTTAATTTCCTATTAAGGCTTAGTTCTTAGTTACAAAGTCAAATCTCTAAGTGACACATGCCTGTAACCCCAGACCTTGGAAGGATGATAGAGGGTTGTCCTGTGTTCTACGATAGTTTGGGCCGTATAAAATTGAGTCCAAAGCTAGCCTGAGCTACTACCGAGACTGTCTCAAAAACATAAAAAGTTACATCCCTTTAAATTGCATACACTAAATTGGATGTGACCACATTTACTCTCTCACTCATTCCTTCTAGGTAAGTGCACTGGTTCTTCAACTTGGAATGGCCCAACTTCCAGAAATACAGTTGTACAAGGGTTAAGATTTTAAGAGTGAATGTATGTACACATTTTATTATATACAAAGAATGAAGTTTTAAAAGATAGACAAAATAGAAGTTATAGTCATAATTGGTATTCTAAAAAAGTCTTATCATTTCTAAAAGACATAGGCCTTAGAGTAGAACTTCAAAGGATAAATCAGAGCTCTAAATAGGTCTCCTGTAACAGCAACTGACACTCCAAGAGGCTGTGTGTGAACTGTGGAAGCCAGTGTGTTAGGCCTTGGGAAGGAATGAGATGCTTACATATTGAAGGATAAACAAATGAACAGTACTGAAGGAAGGGGACTTCTAGGGTCTGCTTTATTATTGGCAATGACTGTAATCACTGAAACCAGAATTCTAGGTAAAGCCCTGGGAGTCTCATAATAAGGAAACCTTTCTGTAGGTCTACAAATGGTTTAGTGACAGGAAAAGAGAGAGGTGAGTTAAGAAGACAAAACAAAAAAGACAGGTTAGAGGTCAGAAAATACATACAGAACTCAGGCCTAGCAAGACAGGAAGGGAGATGACATTCATCTATTTAAGTCCAAGCCTGGAAGAACAATTTCCATATATTTGGTATTTAATAATATACAAGAAAACAACACATTACGGAAGAGCTACTTTATATAAGCTAGAAACACACATAATATAAATTCCAAATGAAACCAAATTTGCTACATGTTTAAACTATAAGGATGATAAAAAAAAGATTCTCAATTCAACTACAGTTACTGTGATGTCTTGGACATAGTCTATCCCATTGTAATCTGTATGCAAGTTCAAATTATGAAGTTTCAGGTTTCACTTTTTAAGAAGAGAAAGCCTTAGCCCTCAAATGAGTTAGAGATTTATTGAGGCTCGCAGTGGCAGTCTACTTTTTGTGACAGAGTGCTCTGAAGTCTCTTCCGCTTTAGACTTCTCCACTGGGTTAATGCCTCTGTTTTCTTTGTCCTTTCCATGTGGCTTTTTATGCTGTGGATTTAAGGGGAAAAATACAGTCACAATAATATAACATTTCCTAGACATTGTAACATTTTATTTCAAAGTTCTATACATTGTAGGCAAAAGTTTAAATCAGAAAATCATAAGAGTCAACTTAAAAAAACAAACAAAAAAGAAAAAAACAAAATGAGTATAGTCTTCCTTATTTCACCAGTAAGGGAAGTAGAAGAATTACCTGGTTTGTTTTTCTGAGACAAAGTTTCTCTGTGTATGGTCCTACCTGTCCTGAATCTCTGTAGACCAGACCTCTGCCTCTGGGATTAAAGGTATGTGCTACCACCACCTGGCAAGGAATACTACTTTTTTGCATTATTTTCTAAAACATAATTATAAATTTTCCTTTAAGACAGTGATTCTCAACAGCAAGTGATTCATTCTGCCCTCTAGTGGACATATGCCAATGTCCTGAGACATTTTAGGATAGTACAAATTCCTAGTTCTGGTAAGAGCTGGCCATGGATGAAAGTGTTCGACCTGCAGGGTAGCTGGCTACAACACAAAATTACGCAGATTATAACATCAACAGTGCTGCTTATAGAGAGGAAGATTTGTCACCATGAAGAAAAGACCATTCTACTCTAGGTAGAAATGCTGACATGGGTGACTATGAAACACTTCCATTCTTCCATTTATCTTCTACTGAAAATGTGTTTCATGCTGGGCAGTAGTGACACACGCCTTTAATCCCAGAACTTGAGAGGCAAAGGCAGGCAGATGTCTGTGAGTTCGAGGCCAGCCTGGACTACAGAGCAAGTGCCAGGAGAGGCTCCAAAGCTATACAGAGAAACCCTGTCTCAGAGAGAGAGAAAAGAGAGAGTTTCATACTTACTATGCATCTGGGGACTCTATACCTCTGCAAGCCTGCTACTTCCAGCAGAAATTAAAATACTGCATACTCAGTTATGAATGTTTATAATTTATAAAGTTTTATACTCTAGTGATCACTTAACATGTATAAGGCCCCAAATTCTAATCCTAGCACCAAAAAGAAAAGGCCACAAACAATAATGGAGAATCGGACTGTCGGTATGAGTCAGTGATAATGAATTACTAGCTGTGTCAGGGCAGAAACAAGGGTAGAAGAATATGGGTGGGACTGTCCTGGGATACACAAAGGATCTGAGGAAGTCTGCACAAATGTAGGTAGGCGGTGGTGCACACCTTTAGTTCCGGCTCTCACGAGGGGAGGCAGGTGGATCTCTGAGTTGGAGGCCACCCTGGTCTACACAGCAATATCCAAGACAACAGATATACAACACAGTGAAACCCTGCCTTAAAAAACAAAACACACGCACACACACATTTCAACTGTAAAATTCAGTATTACATGTCTTACATAAAGAAATTGTTACTTTATCTATGGTCATACCTTCAAGATACAGGAAAAGAAGCCAGGCAGTTTCTGTTTTTGCTTTTTAAACAATCTTGTTTTACATACCAATCCTGGTTCCCTTTCCCTCCCATCCTCCCACTCCCCCATCAACTCCTCAGAGAGGGTAAGGCCTCCCATGGGGGATCATCAAAGTCTGTCACATCATTGGGGGGCAGGACAGGGGCCCTCCCCCACTGTATCTAGGCTGAGTAAGGTATCCCTCCATTGGGAATAGGCTCCTAAAAGCCAGTTCATGTACTAGGAATAAATACTGGTTCCACTACCAACTGCCCTACAGACTGCCCAAGCCCCCACGTTCAGGGGGCTTAGTTCAGTCTTGTGCAGGTTCCCCAGCTGTCAGTCTAGAGTCAGGGAGCCTCCATTTGCTCAGGTCAGCTGTTTCTGAGGGTTTCTGCAAAATGGTCTTGACCCCTTTACTCATCACTCTCCTTCTCTACAACTGGACTCCAGGAGTTCAGCCTAGTTTCAGCTGTGGATCTCTGCTTCCATCAGCTACTGGATGAAGGCTCTATGATGGCAATTAAGGTAGTCATCAATCTGATTATAGGGGAAGGGCAGTTGAGGTACCCGATTCATTAGTGCTTAGATTCAATCTGATTATAGGGGAAGGGCAGTTGAGGTACCCGATTCATTAGTGCTTAGATTCCTAATTGGGGTCATTCTTGCGGATTCCTGAAAAATTCCTTAGTGGCCAGGCAGTTTTTTTGCTTTGAGACAGGGTCTCACTATATAGTCCTGGTTGGCCTGGACTCACGGTGGAAAACCAGCCTGGCCATGAACTGGAAGAGATCAATTGTTTCTGCTCCTCGTGCTATGATCAAAGGCATGTGCCCTCACCTGCACCAGGCAGTTTTGAATGGCTTGTTACTAACTGTTAGCAGAGCATGAACCATACACCTGTAACCCAGCATCAGAGAGGCAGGGACTTGGGAAAGTTTGGGGAATGATTAATAAGAGAAGAGTCTCTTGTGGGCAGGATCAATCACTACTACAATTTATAGTCCCCAACTTTTAAATTCTTTAATCTTCAGAGTGTGATGGACAGGGATGGATACCAGGGCCTATTGGGTAAAGGTATAAGTAAGAGAGATAACTGCTCCTACTGTAAGAGGCAGAGCCGGGTGGTGGTGGTGCACGCCTTTAATCCCAGCACTCGGGAGGCAGAGGCAGGCAGATCTCTGTGAGTTCGAGGGCAGCCTGGTTGTTAGCCTAGGCTAGCTCCTCTTTAGCCTCAAAGTATGGGGACGTCAGGTGTATATCACCATGCCTGGCTAGGTTAGCCATGATCCCTTTATACTAACTAGTAAAAACTGAGTGACAGCAGGTGAGGAAGGGAAGTAGGTGAAACACACTGTCGAGTACCTGGAAAAACGGAACACCGCCATTTGAAGAGCAATCCACATTGGTGCGTACAAATGTCTCTTGACTCAAAAGTTCTTCAGCACATTGTTCCTGAACCTCCTTCTTGTCATCTGTGTCCTAAAATAAGAAGCTCGGTGAGTGGGTAAGTCCATGGCACTGGATCGTCAAACAGAGCAGAATGCGGTGGAACATGCTTTACTATCCCAGCCCTAAGGAGGCAGAGGCAGGAGGATTGTTGCAAATTTGAGGCAACCTGGTCTATATAGAAAGCTACAGGACAGCCAGGGAAACACAAACAAAAATCATCATAAAAGCCAGGCAGGGGTAGCACATGCCTTTAATTCTAGCAGGCAGAGGCAGAGGTAGGTGAATCTCCGAGTTTAAGGCAAACCGGGTCTACAGAGTGAGTACTAGGACAGCCAGGACTACACAGAGAAACTGTGTCTCAAAAAACATCGTAAAGGCAATTTTCTTTTTTGAATGATCTCATATGAATTACATGAAAGTTAAACTTTGATAATTTGTAGGAAATCTACAAAACAATCTATTGGCTTGTACTTATTCTCTTCTTTCTTGACTTTTCTATACTTGTTATTAACTACGGAGCACAAATTGTGGGCTTCATTGCCTTGCTTCTAATTGCAGCTTCATCTTCATAAGCTGAGACAAAAGAATTCTGTTTGTTCATTCACAAGATGTACTACAGTGGTACCCATCCCACAGGGATACTGAAAGGGTTGAGTTAGCATACATGTAGACTTAAAACAACACTGTCTGGTATGGAATCATAGCTTAAATGCTGGCTCAGAAATTATTATCTACTAGTCTAAAAATCAAAATCAGTAAGATTAAAAGAAAGTCAGCAATTCTCAGAGGAAACAGCATAGGACTGAAGAGTGAAAAATAACAGTCATTACATAAAATCAACAGTTTACAGGGCTGACGTGATGACTCAGAGGGTCAAGCATTTGCTGTTCAAATATAAGGGTCAGATTTTGGATCCCCAGCCCCCACCTAATATCTTGTGGGTGTGGCAGCCCACCTTAATCCCAGCACTTAGAGCTGGTAACTACTAGTAGCTGTGGGTTCAAGTGAGAGATCCTACCTCAATATAGTCAGTAGAGAACAATTAAGGAAGGCACCTAAAGTCAACCTCCTGGCTCCACACAGATACACACATGCTGTATGCACACCCCAATGCACACATGAGCACCCATGCATGCCAAGACAAGTTTATGGGAAAGCTCTACAACTATGTTCTGAGTTTTACCTGGCCGGCCTCTCTGTCGCTTTCTGAGCAGCTTAGCAGCATTGATTGGTTGCTCTGTGCCTTTTGCAGCCGATCAAGGAGTTGTTCCCGTGGTTCAGTTCTCACCAGTGTTGACGGATATAAATAATTTTTCCTCTCTGGCGTCATACCTTTATACCAGACATTAGGAAGGCAGGGGAAATTAAGTGTGAAACGTAACTTTTAAAATTATGTTAAAATGTATACTTTGAAATGAGTTGTCTTCCAAAACCAAAAATGATTTCCATATATCTTTTTTACCTGCCAGGCACAAACTGGTTGAAGCTAGTATTTTTTTTCATGTAGTAATGTTTTCTTGGGGTTTGTTTGTTTTAAATAAGATTGGCTTTTTCCTGCTTCTAGGGCTTCCTGCAAGCTAAGTCTCTGCTGGAAAGACATCTCTTCTTATTTTTTTTAAGGATTTATTTATTTTATGTATGAGTACTCTATCTGCATATACAACTTTATGTGAGAAAGGGGCACCAGATCTTATCATAGATGGTTGTGAGCCACTATGTGGTTGCTGGGAATTGAACTCAGAACCTCTGGAAGAGCAACCAGTGCTCTTAACCTCTGAGCCATCTCTCCAGCCCCCTCTTTTTATTTTTTAAATTTATTTCTTTATATTTTATGTATGAGTGTTCTGCATGTACGCCTGCATGTCAGAACAGAGTGTTAGATCCTATTATAGGCAGTTGTGAGTCACCATGTTGGTGCTGGGAATTGAACGCAGGACCTCTGGAAGAGCAGCCAGTGCTCTTAAATGCTGAGCCATCTCTCCAGCCCAGTAATGGATCTTTAACAGATCTGACAATTCACAAAAGTCACCTTACCTACAAAAATATGAAGTTTCCATTTCTAAGAATATACAGAATAATATATTAGGCTCAAAAATGAATTTGGGTATTCTGAGAAATGGTGGCATTGTTGGAATTAAAAGTTTTACCAATGTGATCTGAAAAAAGTAAGCATTTCTTTATAAATTTGGTGTAGTACCTGGCTCTTACGGCAGTTACATTTCTTTATAAGGGAGTTGCCTTTTCACTTAACATTCCATTTTCATTGATAGTTAACAATAAATCTGAAAGATTGAAGAAACTAAACCAATGTTCTTTAGTACAAACTCTTTTTTTTTTCCCGAGACAGGGTTTCTCTGTATTGTTTTGGAGGCTGTCCTGGAACTCGTTCTGTAGACCAGGCCAGACCAGGCCGGTCTCGAACTCACATAGATCCGCCTGCCCCTGCCTCCTGGAGTGCTGGGATTAAAGGCGTGCGCCACCAACACCTGGCAGTACAAATTTGAAATGTAGATGCCATAAAAATCATTCAAAAAGAAAAGTGTACAATTCAACGACTTTACAATTCAATGAAGAATCAACTATGAATCTGTGGAAATCAGCTGGTAGTTTACCAATCTTAGGCATTTTTGATCTCTAAAAATTGTGATTTTTTTGTTTGTTTGTTTGTTTTGTTTCTTTGAAACAGAGTTTCTCTGTATCTCTGGCTGTCTTAGAAATCACTATGTAGTGCAGGCTGGCCTCAAACCCAGAGCTTTACCTGCCCCTGCCAACCAAGTACTGGGATTAAAGGCATGTGCAATCACCGCCTTGCCCTAAAAATGGTAATTCACCGGGCGTTGGTGGCATACGCCTTTAATCCCAGCCCTCGGGAGGCAGGGGCAGGCAGATCTCTGTGAGTTCGAGACCAGTCTGGTTTACAGAGCGAGTTCCAGGACAGCCTCCAAAACAATACAGAGAAACCCTTTCTCGAAAAACAAACAAAAAAGGTAATTTCTAAATGACAAGATAAGAGAAACACAGACAATATGCACTTCGCAGTGAACTTCGTATTAATAAACAGCTTAGCTTTTATATCCATTTGGGTATTGAAACACCCTCCAGACACAGTGTTAGCTAAATAGCCAGGTCCGTTTTATTTGTTTTTAAAATGCTTTTTCGTTTTGTTTTGTTTTTTCTTTTTTGAAACAGGAGCTCTTGTAGCCCAGGTTAGCCTCAAGTTTACTATGTAGCCAAAGATGACCTTGACCTCAGATGGTCCTGCTTATACCTCTTGAGTACTGTATTATAAATGTGTGTCACCACACCTAACGGTTTCTTTCTTTCCTCAGGAGCCCAAGTGACAAATTTCCTTCCCCAGATTCCTGAGGAAAACAGACTGTAAATTGTCACAAACATTCAGACAACTGGCTTTGTTTATACACATGCTTTTAAATTGTTATTTATGAAATTTCCTATTGTGCCCAAATTTCTAGGAATATACCACAGACAAGAAACAAGCTAAGACTGAATTAAAACATTTTTTTGTTTTTGTTTTTCGAGGCAGGGTTTCTTTGTACTGTTTGGAGCCTGTCCTGGAACTCACTCTGTAGACCAGGCTGGTCTCAGACTTACAGAGATCTGCCTGCCTCTGCCTCCAGAGTGCTGGGATTAAAGGCGTGTGCCACCAACGTCCAGCTTTTTTTGGTGTTCTAAACATTCTATATTTAAATTTATTACAGGGAGCTAGTAGATTCCTGTCAGGCAAAGGCAGGGCTCAGTTTCCAAGAGCATCTAACACTGTATACAACTGAATTCAATTTCAAGAACTTTAACAATTTTATTCGTTTTAAAATACCCAATGGAGGTAAAAGAGAGGTGTCAGTGATTAAGAGCATATATTACTCTTCAGAGGACCAGAGCCGGTTCCCAGCACCACACTGGGTAGCTCAAACCCGGCCTCCAGAGGCACTACACTCAAGTGCATATCCACCTACCTCTGCCCCACATAAGTAAAATAAACCTTAAATAGTAAAAATACCTGTTGGGACATCTAGTTTCAGATCCTGCTGCAGAAAGCAATTAAGCTTTGTCAAACCAGTTTTTATAGTTTCATCAAGCTCTAGACTTCTTGCTTTTAATGTTTCATCATCTGAAGTTATCTGCACGACGAAGGAGGTGTGCTGGTTCTCAATGGCAGCTGCATGCACACCCTGTTTTCCAGTGATCTCTGAACGTGTAGCCTCACAACATTCATTTACAAACTGTAAAGACACAGACAAGCTTTCATTACTAAAGCTGGAAGCACTTTAGTCTAGCACCATTTTTAATTATCTTGAAACGGTCCATAAAACAGGTTTTAAAAACACATATAAAAGTAGAGAGAACAGGGCAGTTAGCCCCTGCTATTCACTGCCATCGTGAGTGCTGGGGCCAGAGGTACTCTGGCCTGCTAAGCCATCTCTCCCACTACCCATTCTTAACATACTCCACTATACAGATGGAAGGAAGGTCTGACTTAAAACTAGACTGAAGGCTAAGTCCTATGTCTGGTTTGCTCTGTGGTTTATAATTTGATTTTTTTTTAACTTGAAAAACTTTTAAAGAGACTAGGTCTTAAGCTGGGCAAGGTGATAAACACCTTTAATCATAGCACAGAGAGGAGGAGGCAGAGGGATAACTTTGAAGTCATCCTGGACTAAATAATGAGTTCAAAGCCAGGAGAGGAAGGGAAGAGAAGGAAAGAGGAAAGGGGCTGGGTCGGGGCAAAACTAGATCTTTCCCCATGTCTCAAGTTCTGGATTTAGTCACCCATCTCCATAGCGGGTTTTCTTTTGTTTATAATCTTTTTTGAGACAGAGTCTTTAAGCCTCTGTGGTACAGACTGGACTCAATCCAACTCAGAATACCCCTGGCTTCCAAGCAATGGCATCACAGGTGTGAACCATCATGTCCAGCTTCTATGCAGCCTCAGTTTGAGTCCAGAAGCCTATGTAAAAGTGGAAGGTGTTGTGTCTCTGATCCCCACATACGTGCCATGACATACATGTCCACACATACACATCATGTACACAGACACAACGATCATCATTTTAAGGGTGGAGAGACGTTTAGCAGTTCACAGAACTCCTGAGATCTCCAGTACCTGTGTCAGGCAGCTCACTGACTGTGACTCCAACTCCAGGGGTCAGACACTTTCTTTTGTCCTCCAAAGGTGTTCCTGCGCGCATGCACATACACACCCCAAGTAAAATAAAACCTTTTTCCCCCAGACATGGTTTCTCTGTGTAATAGTCCCAGCTGTCCTGGAACTCGATTTATAGGCCAGGCTGACCTCGAACTTACCTCGCCTGCTTCTGCCTCCAGCACATAACAATTTAAAATAAATTCTAAGTCAAGAATATTTTCATTTCTGATTATAGCTATTCTCCCCAAAGTTAGTTCCAGGAACAGACATATTACCTCCATTAGGTTCTCAAGTTCTTCCTTCCTCTTGCTTAAGCAAGATGCCCACTGTTCAGAAAAGTAAGCTGTGCTTGTGTTCAAAGATTCACACTTCTGTGTAGTCTCCTGAGATACAGTTTCCAGATTGCCATTGAGTGAATCACAGTGCTTTACAGATTCTTCAACCAACTGTGTGCCTTCTTGACTAAAGTGTCTGAGTTCTTGTACTAACACATCAGAATCAGCAGTTAGTTTTTTACTTTGAACTGTTGTTTGGTTGATTATAGCTGCAGCCTTCCTATAGAGAAACAAAAACCAGAATAACCATAAGTTCAAGGCCACTCTGATCTACAAGTCATGGTCCAGAACAATGGAGCTACAGAATAAGACTCTCAAAAATAACAAACATCCCCCCTCCCCCAAAAATCCTCTAGCTCTTGCTATCTGAAATCAGCCCATCATCACTCTCCAGAGGCAAGAAACCTCAAGTCAAATGAGAAAGGCAATCAACAGATGCCAACAACAAGAACACTTGTTTTAGAATTCTCTGGCAAACATTTTATAGGAACCTTTGTAAAAAATGTCTCAAAAAAACAATCAAAAGCCTTAAGCCTGTGATTTCAGCGCTTGGGAAACTTAGGCAGAATTGCTTTGCAGTCAGGGTAATCCTGAGCTACACAGTAAGGTCCTGTCTCAAGAACACGAGGGTGGAGAGGAAGGAATACATTTAGATACATATATATATACAAATATAATGTCAACAAGTCACAAATTCACTTGTAAGCAAACCAGAGTTGTTTGTACTATTTGAAGTTTTTTTTTTTCTATTGAAAATCATTCCAGGCTTAAAGAAAACTTCAAAAGAAGTTAAAAGTGTCTTACTGCTCTGTATTTTCTTGAATATTGTTCAGTGGTTTCTGGATGTTTTCGCACTTTTTCTCCAAAGCACAGAATCTCTCTGTCCAACTACTGATTAACTGGGAAAGTTCCTGTAAGAAAGATTGAGGAAGGGAAAGACTTGAAATGGTAGCATTTAAATGTTTAGTCTCTGAATATGAATGACAACATGATCACACAGGTGAGAATTTAAACTTGTTTGGTCATCCTGCCTTAGCCACTGAGTGCTGGGGTTACAAGTGCATAAAACCACACTCAGCTGAACTATATAAATTCTTGACAAAATATTTTTTAATTTCTCCTCTCACACAAAGTGGAAAGCCCTGAAAGGACTATTAAAGAAACATTTTAGGAGTTTAAAAAAAAAAAAAAAGTAAAGAATTTAAAAAGAACTTTTTTGGCCTTGTTTTTTGGAGAAAAGGTCTCACTAAGCTTAGAGTCTGATTCTGCTGCAATAGAATCATATACCAAAGCTTCGTTGTTACTTGTTACAACTCAGGGCCTAAGAATAACAGACACTTGGTGTGGTTAAACATGCTGTAATCAAAGACAGATAGGATGGCCAATGATACAGCAATGAGAGAAAACTAGGCTTAGCCTATCAAAGATAGTAGCTATCCATGTCACCCTAAAAAGAAAAAAACTTACAATATTTTCACTTACAATGCTACAGCAACCTTATGGGTGAGTTTTCTATTCCTTCCTCTTACTGAGAAAGGACCATTTTGTCTGTCAGGATGTTGTTAAGCACAGAGTTCCAGATGCAACAAATTCTCAAATATTAACTGATATAAAGAAGTATTCCCGATTATTTTGTACAAATACCATCAGAAATAACAGTAGCTGTGATACCTTCAGGTTCCACAGTAGTTTTGTAACATTCAAACCACATGACGTAGATTGTTAAGTTCATCAAGCCACTAAAAATGTCAATTAAGAGATACCTGGAAATGGGTTTCCTTTATTGTCTTCAGGTCTTCATTTAAGTTTCCACAAAGTTTCTGTGATTCACCCAAGGAAGAAACTGTATTTTCTTGTAGTTCATGTAGGTTGTTGCACAATACACTTAGAAAACCGTCTATTTCCTTTTTTTGATCTTCTATCTTTGAAGAAAAAAAATATTAGTTTCTTTTTGAAGCAACCTATCAAATTTGAGGTATTAAGAAGACAACATCTGTACCTTTTCAGCCATTGTCAATGAAGTCCTGAAAATATGCTGCAGTTGCTTATTGATGTTCAAGATGGAAACCACACCAGGGGCTAAGATGGTCTTCAGGGAACCAAGAAGGTCAGTCTCAAGTTCATTCTGGTTTTTAAAGCAAATGCATCTTTAAGAATGTTTTCATTTCCATTAACCTGGCTGATATATCTCAGGTACTTAGCAACCAAACACTGACATTCTTTATAACCTAAAGAGGCACAGCTGTATATATCCAGAATATACTCTGGCTACACCATTTAGTCCTGCTCCACTAACTGAAACAGTGTTTAATAAGTGTGAAGTAAACGCTGAATTAATCTTCTCTTTTTTGTTCGTTGCGTCTCTTATGACACAGGCTGACCTTAAACTCACTGTGTAGCCGAGGATGCTCTTGAACTCCTGTTCCTCCTGCCTCCACACTATCAGGATCACAGGTATGCACCACCATGCCTGCCTTTATAGTCAATTAACAGTCTAATGGAGATTCAGAAGAGGAGAAAAACGACAGTAAAGTGTTAAGATTTCAGCACTCCAGTTTGATCCCCATCATGGGAAAACAACAAAATCTATAGATACATTTAAATATAATGAATTTTTTTTTTCTTTTTGAAACAGGGTTTCTGTGTTCCAGCTGTCCTGGAACTCACTTTATAGAATAGGCTAGCCTTGAACTGGCAGAGATCTACCTGCATCTGCCTCCTGAGTGCTGGGATTAAAGGTGTTCAACACCACTGGCAGGCTTCCTTTCTTTGTTTCTTTCTTTTTGATGAATATAATGAATTTTAAACAGTTTTAGGTTATTGGTCAAAAAAGCTAAGCCAAAAAGTCACTAAGAGTAGACCTTAGGGGCTAGAAAGGTGGCTCAGTGGTTAAAGCCTGTGCTGCTTTTGAAGAGGATCAGTACCCACTTTAGATGGCTCTAACTATGGCTCCAGGGGATCCAATGTCCTCTTCTGGACTCCACAGGTACCTGTACTCACTTGCATATACCCTCGCACCCCACATAAACAAGCAACAACAAAAAAATAGGCTTTGGAGCAAGGCAGTGTAGTTCATGTCTGATATCCTGACACTCAAGAGGCAACATAGGGTGATTAGCATCAGACCTTAAGCAGCCTGGACTAAATAGTGAGTTCTAGGCCAACCTGAGATACAAAGTACCCTGCCTCAAAACACTGGGGGAGGCAGGAGACCAAACTTTAGGCTACAAGGATTTAACTGTGAAGATCCTATGACTTAAGAGACTACTTTATCAGAACTTGTGTGTTCTTGTTCTTGAAGAGGAACACATGAAATTGAGAAAAGATCCTTTCACTAGGAAAGGGCAACAAATAAATACAAAACCTAAGCAGAAATGAGTTAGTAGAACTGCAGGGACATGCTTGTGGTACAATACTCAGGACCTGCGTTTAGGCCCTCGAATCCACATTACCAAAACAAACAAACAAGATGAGAGTAGCACAGGGGAAAGCAGACAGGAAAAAGATCCCTGGGGCTGAGCAAGTTAAAGGTTACTTCCCAAGCCTGACACCCAAATTCCATTTCGAGAACCCGTATAAAGGCTGAAGGAGACAACAGGCCCCACAGCATCCTCTGACCCCATGTGCACATCACGGCAACATACACATGATAATAACAACAGGCCCCACAGTATCCTCTGACCCCATGTGCACATCACGGCAACATACACATGATAATAACAAATCAAATCTTTAAAAAAATTAGCACCTTAAGAGAGGTATCTGAGGTCAATTTTTTGGATTCCTTATCCACCTGTGCGTACATGTATGTGTGTACACACACACTCACGAAAAACAAAAGGAAAAGAAACGAAGAAAGAAATGAGTCAAGTAGCAAAAAAAAATATATATATGGGTTTTGAAAGCATAATCTTCCTTTGATTAAAGCAGAGGTGCCCCCCGCCCCCATTTGTTTGAGACAGTCTCACTATGCAGCCCTGGCTGTCCTGAAACTCTTTGTGTAGACCAGGCTGGCTTCAAACCCAAGAGATCCACATCCACCACCACTAACGATTTATGAGTGATTTTTTGTTTTTGGTTAAGACGGGAGCCCATAACTCAGACTGAGTCGGCAATCTCTATACAGCCTACACTGGCCTCAAATTCATGATCCTCCTGCCTCACCCTCCCACATGCTGGAATTACTGCTGTATACCAGTATGCCTGGCAGAATGAGTGACTATAGAACTATGAAGAAAAGCTTTCAGAATGAGGCCCAGTAGGGCTTAGTCACATAGAGCTAATGCAAAGAACTTTTGGTTTTTTGGTTTTTCGAGACAGGGTTTCTCTGTGGCTTTAGAAGCTGTCCTGGAACTAGCTCTTGTGGACCAGGCTGGTCTTGAATTCACAGAAATTTGCCTGCCTCTGCTTCCCGAGTGCTGGGATTAAAGGCGTGCATCACTATCGCCCAGCACAAAGAATTATTATTGTATGTGCTCTTTGTGACTAGAAGGCTTATTAATAACTGCTACTCTTTTGTTTGTGCAGGGTCTCTCGTGTAGCTTTGAACTCATTAAAAGCTAAGGATGGCTCCAAATTCCTGATCCTTCTGCCTCCATCTTTCAAATGTTAAATTACAAACATGTGAAAGACAATAGATTAATTATTCCTATTCTCAACTACACCAAATGAGTGAAAACACTTTCAAAGTTTAGTCATATCCTCCTAGAAACCAGCCTTTCTGTGAGGCGAAAACAAAAGCAAAAGCTCCACAAAAGTCCTGCAAAGTGTAAGTTAATGCCATTTCTGACGGCTGGTCCCCCTTTGAAAGCATTAAGAGATTTACTTACAATCAATCCTTGCAGCACAGTTTTACTTTGTGCTGCTAACGACTGTTCCTCCAATATCATATCAGAGATCTGGGTGACACGAGCTGACACGCTTTGTGGAATAGACATGAGAGTTCCAAGAGCTGTTGCAGTAACGGTGTCTAATGCAGAGACACTAGAAGACATGAGATTACCTACAAAAAGAGAGATGTGAACTTTGGCATAAATATATTTAAATGCAGTTAAGACCACTTTCAATAATTCAAAGTCAATCTTTATTATGTAATTTCTAATTAAAGAACTGTCTTACTACATAATAAGATTTAAATATTGTCCTATAAGCCCTGGCATATTAAAAGCATATCATACTCCAGCATACCTTACAATAATATTAAAATTAGAATGCATTTCTCTTTGTTTGAGATGATTTTACTTCCAGTCAGTCATGCTTCAGTTTCCCAAGTACTAGGATTGAAGGCATGAGCCACCAGGTTTAAGACTTAGAAGATTCAGCTAGGCAGGGGTGGTGCATGTCTTTAATCTCAGTACTCAGGAGAAAGAAGTTAAGTACAGCTCTGTAAATCCAAGGCCAGCCTGGTCTACAGAGCTAGTTCCAGGACAGTCAGGGCTACACAGAGAAACCCTGTTTCAAAACCAAAAAAACCGAGGGGGGAGGGAGAGGGAGAGAGGGAGAGAGAGGGAGAGGGAGGGAGGGAGAGAGAAGGAGAGAGAGAGAGAGAGGAGAGAGAGAGAGGCATTAGAATATTCTAAAATAAGTATCAGTTTTATAGTAGACAGGAATTTATTTAAAAAAAAAAGAAAAGAAAAGAAAACTAAGCAGGGTAGTGGTGGCGCATGCCTTTAGTCCTAGCACTCAGGAGGCACAGGCAAGTGGATCTCTGTGAGTTTGAGGACAGCCAGAGCTACATAGAGAAACCCTGTCTCAAGAAAAGAAAAAGAAAAAGATAAAGTGAAAACTGTAAAATATATATATCTGAAACACAAAGAAAGCCTTAGAATGGGCTGGGCATTTAGCTCAGTTGCCGAGCAAGTGTGGTAGTACAGGCCTGCGATCCCAGTACTCAAATGGGAGACAGGAAGATTAGATGTTCAGAATCATCCTCTTTACACAGCAACTTCAAGACCAGCCCAGGATACCTGTGACCACGCCTCAAAAACAAACAAAAGACCAGAAAAGCTGAGTTTAGTAACACTCTTCCTGTGATCTTGGTGCTTAAGTACAGAAGGAAGGATTATTAGTTAGAAACCGGCTTGTCTAGTGGTGGCGGAAGGAAGGCAGAGGAGGGAGAAGAAATGGGAGGCAGGGCAGGGGAGGGGAGGGGGCAGGGGGATGGGAAAGAGGGGGAGGAAAAAAGGTAGAGAAGAGAATGTGAGAGTGAGTGAGTGAGTGAGCTGGCCTGGGATTCAACTGAGCCTGTCAACCCTGTCTACTTGGCCACTCAAAGACTTTGTCTCAAAAGAAATAAGATGGAGGGCTAGAGAGATGACCCAATGGTTAAGAGTATACACTGCTCTACCAGAAGTGCAGTTCCAATTCCCAACACCCATATCCAGTGGCTTACATTCCAATGGAGGAAATCCAACGCCGCTAGCCTCTAAGAGTACATGCACTCTCTCACACACACACACACACACACACACACACACACACACACACACGCACGCACGCACACACACACACACACAGACATACACATACATGTAATTAAAAGTAAAAAGTGGATGGTCCCTAAGGAATAACACTTAAGGTTGTCCTCTGGCTTCTATATTCATATGCATACACATCCACAAGACACACCCACAGAGATGCTTGAACTTACCAAACAGTGTCTTATGATCTTCTAGCATAGCCTTTTGTTTTGCGGTGCCATCCTTAATTAATTCTTCCATATTATTAAACAGACTGTTGAGGTTTTTACCAAAACTATCTTGAGCTTCAGCATTGTGTTTATCAATTGCTCTCTTTCGGTCCAGCTTTGAATGGAGACCAGATACATCCCTGGTGGTTTCTTTAACTGTACTAAGCAACTGTATGTTTAAAAAATAAAACACAAAAAGGTAACACATAAACAGTCTAATCAATGTGCCTGTGTTCTATAAGACTCTCTCCCTAGTGAGAACAAGACTCTAAAGATCCAGGTGCTTAGGCCCCACCAAGCCTGCTCCCCTACTCCCTCTCTCCCAACCACCCCCTTCCCAAGTCAGCCGTCTGTGCACAAGGACTTGCAAATTTATGTCAGTAAATATGTTTGACACAAACTTTTTTCCTTTTGTTTTATTTACTGTCTCCTCAAAAGTATACCTAGTAAAAAATGTAATACTTTCATTCCACTTTTAAAAGGAAACATGGGGTCAAATAGTGAAATACTGTTTCATAAATGGACATAAATAACACCTGGAATGAATAAATTAAAATGTCAGAACAGAAGCTTAAGGAGGCAAGGATACTTCTACCCACCCTTCAACGTTTTCAATACAAAAGACAAACCTTGCTGGCAGCATCATGTAGCTTCTCCTCAGTTCTTTCCAGGGCTGAAGAAACATATTCCTCTTTAACAAGTTGCAATTTTGTTTCTTGCAAATGTTTCTGAGTGGTTTCAAGTTCCTGGGTCTTAGTTTGCAAGTCAGATTTACACTGGTCAAGTTCATTTTTACTATCCACAAATAACTCTGTAACCTACACATAACACATAAATAATTATTTAAGAATCAGAAAAAATGCTGGTGGTTGGTGAAACACTTAGGTAGTTAATAATATTGGGAAAACAAGTTACTCAAATGTAAAAATTGTAATAGTATGTCAGACTGATTAGAACATTTTTAATGGCATCTGGTGTCTTCTAGAAAGCTTATTCAAAACTTAAATAGCAAGTGTAATATAGTGCCTTCAGTGGACTGCCCTCATAAAGGGGCAACATGAGGGTGGCACAGCAAGGGTCCAGTTCTTGTCTAACTGTCCAATGTCTCCCAATCCTTGAAACCCTTAACTTGAAAAGGAGCGGGGAGAAAGTTCAGCTGGTAGGATGCTTACCTAGCATAAAAAAAGCCCTAGGTTCTACCCCCAGCTCTGCATAAAACAAGACCTGGTGATGCAATGCTATAATTCCAGGTAGAGGCAGGAGGACCACAAATTCAATGTCATCGTTGGCTATAGCTTTGCTACTCTTTTGAGGAAGGGCCTTTATGTAGCCCTGAATAACCTGGAACTCAATACATGACTAAACTGGCCTCTAAATTATAAAGATCCATCTGCCTCTGCCTCCAATGTAACTTAAAGGCATGTGTTTCAATCTACCCAGACTACATGAGAACTGTTTCAAAATAAAAATAAAAACTGAGTATACCATGAACCCTAGGTCTGTAGCATGCTTTGGAGGTTTGTATAATATGTATATGCTATAGTGTTTACACAACAATGAAATCATTTAAAACACACTTCTCAAAAACATAACCCAATCATTAAACAAATGTCTGACTAATTTCTTCTAAAGTTGTATTAATAAGTGTCAAAATAGAAGCTTTTTATTACTAACAAAGGAAGGGACTGGAGAGATGGCTCAGTGGTTAAGAGCACTGCCCGCTCTCCCTGAATTCCCGAGTTCAATCCCAGCAACCACATGGTGGCTCACAACCACCTGTAATGAGATCTGGTGCCCTCTTCTGGCATGCAAGCTTACAGACACTGTAAGCATAATAAATAAGTAAATCTAAGAAAGAAAAAAATCAAAAAGAAAACAATTCTTTCAAAAGAGGAGAAAAAGTCCTGCACATTCTAAGTGTCTTTCAGCATTTCCTTTCCAGGACCTCACACACCATCTGGAATGCCTACCTTACTGAGTTCCTCCTCAAGGACACCGATCTTTTCAGACAACTCAACAATCTGTTCCTCCTGAACTGTTAATTTTCCATTCATGGCTCTAAAACAGTTTAATACAAATTTAACAGTTAATGCTTTGCTCTAAACCCTACAAAATTTAATCTAATTGTATAACAAAATTCAACATAACAAAATTATGGCAGCTACAAAAACTCATCTCGACACTTTTCACCCTCATGTGATACTTACGTGGTTAAGTGCAAAACACAGCAAGCAAATGCATTCCAAAGATTTACTTGTTTGTAGTTCATGGATGAGTGTTTTGCCTGCATGTATTTCTGTGTACCACTTACATGCCTGGTGCCCATGGGACCAGAAGAGGGCATCAGATCCCCCTCTGCAACTACAATCACAGTCGGTTGGAAGCCACCATGCCAGTGATAGGTATTAAACCTGGACCCTCTGGAAGAAACAGAGCTCTTAACAACTAAACCATCCCTCCAGCCCCTCGCTTGTTTTATAAATGAAACTGAAAATCTTTTTCTATTAATTTGAGATGTAAAGAAGCAGTGACAGGGTGCTTGTCAGCAAGAACAAGAGGGACTCTGGATTTGGTCCTTAGCACTGTAAAATATATGGAAAATGAAACTGTGTTAAGAACATAGAAAACTGACAGAGCCTGGGCGGTGGTGAGGCATGCCTTGAATCCCAGCACTGGTGAGACAGAAAGCATATCTCTGAATTTGAGGCTAGCTTGATCTATTGAGTGGGTTCCATGACAGCAAAACTGTCTCTAAAAAACAAAACAAGAAAATTTAAAAAAGAAAAAACCTGACAGAGGGAATGATAAGGCAAAGTAGAGATGGGGGAGGGGATAATATAGGTGGCTGCAATCAGTAGTACAGAATATAAAGATGCCTTCCCATGCCGTAAGTGCTTAATACTTGAAACTATGAAGCATCATGAGAAATGGGTGAGATAAATGACAAAAATCACCTAGAAGGGCCGAATCAAAGTATATATACAGAACAGTAAGTACAGGGGATGCCACACACACAGTTCTACTAGTACTGGGTCTTGTGAGAGTCACTAGGGCAGAATTTCCCAGTTCTTTGGTGTGGGCTAATGTTGGGGAATATTACTTTCAGGTGCACTGCTTTTGTTTATGCTGCATTTGTTTAATTCTGTGAAGCTGTCTTACTGTGCCTGTCTAAAACACCTGATGGTCTAATAATGAGCTGAACGGCCAGTATCGAGGCAAGAATAGGTGGGGTTGGCAGGCAGAGAGGATAAAAAGGAGAAACGAGGAGAGCAAGAAGACAAGGACACTAGTGGTCAGCCGCACAGCCACTCAGTAAGAGTGAAAGTAAGGTATACAGAAATAGAGGATAAAAGCCCAGAGGCAAAAAGGAGTTGGGATAATTTAAGAAAATCTGGCAGGAAACAAGCCAAGCTACTAAGGCCGGGAATTCATAACTAATCCTTCTGCATACTCAACTTTTGTGCTCTCTCCAACACCTCTGTTAATCAGTTCAGATCTGAGCAAAGGTATGTTTAAATGGTGCTGCTATGAATATCACAATGCTTCCTTTAGGATGCCAGGAAGACGACCTGACATCCTGCAAGGATTCCAGAAACAAAGCAATGGATTTTTAAAAAAATAAAAACAGGACTGTTTTACCTTAAATATATATTTGCTTGTTAGAACATAAAGATGTGTTTATTTGCAACTGGCATAGAACATTTAATGCATTTTATAACTATATTCTTATTTTCATATTCTTACTTCAAGTGCATAAGCTAGTGTTGATACTAAGATGAAAATATATACTCAAGAGCTAAGTCTTAATTCTACTGAGCTGGACAGACTTTTATTACTGTCTCTCCCCGTACTGAGTGGTACTGTCTAGAAAAGGTGACATTTCAATGCTCATCTGGCTGCCTTTCCACCAAAAGAAGCCCCTACTTGGTTGGCTGGTTGTTTTTGGAGACAGGGTTTCTACGTGTACCCCTGGCTGTCCTGGAATTAGCTCTGAAGACCAAAATGGCCCTCAAACTCAAGAGATCTGCCTGCCTCTGCCTCCCAAGTACTGGGATTGAAGGTGTGCACCACACTGCCAAGCCAGAGCCTCTACTTCTAAGTGCAAGAAGTTATCACAGCTGTCAGGTTGGGCCTGGCCCTGGTGAACAAGTGACAGAACCAGATTCATGAAAACAGCCTAAACTTTCAGTGTGTGGAACATGAATTCTGAAATAGAAACCACATTTTTTATAATCTTTGTTGCATACATACTATGAAAACCCCCAATATTTGTTTTAATGAATGATGAAAACATGAGAAAAATCATATACATCTATTAATACTACATCTTAAAAATGTATTTGACAGTGCTGTAATTATAATAATAAAACTGAAGTTTTTTAGTGGCAATACTGATTTATTTTTTAAACCAGAAAGAAAACACCATATTGGCTACTTACTACAGAAAAAAACATAAATGCCAAAAAAAAAAAAAAAAAAAAAGGAAATTAACCCACAAAATTCATCTGAAAATGAATGAATAGGCACTTGGGCTCAAGAGCTCAAACGTCCCAAGATCTTTCTGGGTGGGTGAGGTCACCCAGTACCCCATGCTCAGGATTAGTTCTTCTGGGGGAGATTTTTAGAAGATTTAATATCCCTGACTGTGATCTGATTTATAACTCAAGAAGAAAAGCCAGGTGGCCTGGAGTTTAGTGAGCTAAAATTCAGATCCTAATACACTGAAAGTGCTATTTTAAAGTGATTTCTCTGGGAACTTCCACATCATGGCATCTATCAAATGTGCTCAGGGACTGTAGCAGCAGGAGCCGTGTGTGAAGACGGGAATGGCAGCCCTGGGCTCAGGGGATAGTCTTGTTCTCAGACCCAAACACCAGCAGAATTGTTCAACCTCACTCAGGAACGACGGGGTGTGTCTGCCCAGGTCCGTGGAATATACATCAATTGTATCAGGAAGACTTCTAAGCCTTAGAATCTTTTATTGTAGAGTGATAGAATTAACCAAAAGAATACCAAAAAGGCAAAATGTATTGGGAAACATCAGGTTTATGAATCTTCATATTTTTCTCTTGACAAATTTCTCAAAGGCATTTTATTGCAAACTAGATTTTCATTTAAAAAAAAGCCTGCCATGTTGCAACTTCAATTTTTAAGTTCTGCTCCCTGCTACCTTTTGTCTGCATTTTAAATCTTCACAGGCCTATTTCATTTTATAGACTTGAATGACTGTTTCTCACCTTCCATCTGCTCAAGTTAAGTGTTAAAGCATGCTGTGTAATACTCATCCAATAAAGTCTTTGATTAAAACCAATAGAAGCCTGGGTATTGCTGACTATCCTCTAGGGGGCAATGAGCCTCCTTCCTGAGAGCCAGGAGTCTGCACTACCCGCCAGTGAACTCCAGCTTCCCTCTCACTACACACCACAAGGAGCCAGGCATTTGAATGAAAATCTACAGTGAATGGTGAAACCCACTCTAATTGTTAACAGTGGCCAGAGTAATCTCTCTCCAACCAGAAGACTGGGTGAGTGTTCTCAGAAGTATTGAAGCACTTTGCCCTACAAACTTCAACCCAGGAAAACTTGTGATGGAGGCCCAGACAAAATTCCAGGTACTACTTTACACTCCAGTCAATTTACAGGACTATAAGCCCCCCCCCAATTATAATCCACATTTTAACACCAGTTAAAATTCACTGGACAGTTGAGGAAACAATCACAAATAACAGAAATCACCACAGAGAGTAAAAAGGATCCCGAAATTCAGTGATTGTGCACACCTTTAATCCCAGTACTCAGGAGGCAGAAGCAGGTGGATCTCTGAGTTTAGAGGCTGACCTGGTCTAGAGTTCCAGGACAGTCAGGACTGTTACACAGAGAAACTTGTCTCCAAAGAAAGGTAAAATGAAGTATGCTGACGACTTCTTAAAGACAGGCTGGCTTCAAACTGAGAGCTTGGTATATGCAACACCACACCTGGCTGGAGTAGCGCTTTTAAACACAAACCCACAGGCCTTCCAGACCCACTTCAGTGGGTTACACTGATTTCTTCAGGGCTAGGAAATTTCAGAAATGACTGGGTTGGTGGTTTAGCTCAGGTCTAGGACAGTTAGAAGACAGTTTCATAGTGAGAAGAGAAGATGGATATGGCTTTAAAGAAGAGGCAAAAGAGGTTTACATATTTTCACTGTAGTGATGGTTATACAAATGTATACATATAAACAACAACAAAAAGACCAAGTTGGGTGGTGGTGGTGGTGGTGTACACCTTTAATCCCAGCACTTGGCAGGCAGAGGCAGGTGGATCTCTGTGAATTTGAGGCCAGCCTGATCTACAAGAGCTACTTCTAGAACAGCCTCCAAAGCCAGAAACCCTATCTCAAAAAACAAACAAAAAAAAACACGAAAACAAAAACAAAAAAATGTATACATGTGTCACAATGGTATAGAACCACACATACACAAGGTACCAGTGGCACTCTCCCATGCTTACTATCAAATTATGGTTACATAAAGGAATATTGGTAGAAATTGGTTAAATAATACATGGGGAGCCAGGTGTTATAACCCACACCTGTAATTTTAGTACTCAGAAAGGTGAAGTAGAATTGCTACGAGTTCAAGGCCAGCCTGACCTGTCTAGTGAGTTCAAGGCCAGCTAGGACCACGTAGCAAAATCCTGTCCTAAAAAAAAGAATAAAGGGCTAAGGATGTGACTCAAATGGTGAAATACTTGTGTAGCATCCAAAAGCCTGGACTTGATCCCCAGAGCTCCATAAAACTAAGCATGGTGACAGATGCCTTTGTCCCAGCACTTTGGAGGTAGAGGCAGGAGGATCAGAAGTTAAAGGTCATTCTTACTTCACATGAAACTCTGACTAAATAAATAATCACTATGCATGGGGGCTTCTCTGTACTCTTGTAACTATGATCATTTTAACATAAAAAGCTAAGACTTCCTAACAAGTATTTGATAACAGTGTGAGTGTGTGAGTGTGTGTGTGTTTAAACATTTATTTGATGAGGGAGATGGTACTTGTGCTATAGCACACATACGGAGATCAGGTGACAACTTCTGCAGGACTGGTCTCCTCCTTCCACCATGTGAATTGGAGGACTTGGGTCTCGGGCTTGATAGCAAGCACCTTTACCTGAGGACTCATCTCACAGATCATAGCTTTACTCTTGAGACCATTCCTGCTATGTGTCCCTGTGGCATGCCACTTAAAAAAACAAAATCAAACAAAGAAAAAACAACTTTTTTTTAATTTGCGCACATGCACATGTAGAGGTCAAAGGTCAACTTGTGGAAACCTGCTCTTTCCTTCGATAATGTGGGTTGCAGACATCAAACTGAAGTCAGAGTCTGCAGCAAGTACCTTTACACATAGCCACCTCACAGGCCCAGTGCTGCAGACTTTTTAACGTCAAACCAAAAGAAGCACTTATTGGCAGTAGACACCATTTCCTTATTGCTACATGAGCTAAGCTTTACTTCAAACTACCTATTATCGGAAATCATTGGTTTTAGAGATGGCTACATTAGCACACCTCTGTAATCTAGTAATCGTGAAGCTGAAGCAGGATTCAGAGAGCTCCAGACCAGCCTGGGCTGTATATATAGCAAAACCATCTCCAAAAACAAAAATAGGGGGCTGGGAGACGTCGCTCATCTGGGAAACTGAGTTTAGTTCCCAGCACCACATGGTAGCTCACAGCTCACTCCATTTCCAGACCTTCTTCTAGGCATCTGAATGCGATACACAGACATACATGCAGACCATGCATATACTTAAAATAAGCAAACTTAAAATAAAACAAAGCCAGATGGTGGTGGTTCGAGCCTTTAATCCCAGCACTCAGGAGGCAGAGGCAGGTGGATCTCTGTGAGTTCCAGGACAGTATCCAGAAGCTACTCAGAGAAATCCTGTCTCTAAAAAAACAAAACCAAACCAAAAAAAGGCCTAAATTGGGCTGGAAAGATGGCTCAGTGGTTAAGAGCACTGACTGCTCTTCCAGAGGTCCTGAGTTCAATTCCCAGCAACCATATGGTGGCTCACAACCATCTGTCATGAGATCTGGTGCCCTCTTCCGACCTGTGGGGATATATGCAGACAGAACACTATATAGATAATAAATAAATCTTTAAAAAAAATAATGAAATAAAACAAGACTTAGGAACTCCACGGTCAAAAGGCTTACCTAAAGCTTTCTTCAGAGATGTACACTCCATTTTTCTCACGGACTGCAGCAAGATCTCTCTTCAAACGCTCTATCTCTTCTGTATACTCCTACACAAGAACATATTATACACAGATTCGGAGTTAGTTGGGTTTTTTTTTCTATCATTCAGTGTGGAGAGAATATGCAGGAAATAAATAATGTTAGCACTTTGTTTTTCAAACATAGAAGGGATAATCATACTAAAAAAAAAAAAAAAAAAAAGATAGGATTTCATCCAAACCCAGGTTGGCCTGGAATTCATGGCAATCTCCAGTCTCAGCCTTTGAAATGCTGATATCCTCCAGCTATAACTATAGTTTTAAATCCATGATAATTTTTCTAGAAATATTTTTCAAGACAGGATTTCTCTATATTGTTTTGGAGGATATCCTGGAACTCTGTCTGTAGACCAGGCTGGCCTCGAAATCACAGAGATATGCCTGCCTCTGCCTCCCGAGTGCTGGGATTAAAGGCGTGCGCCACCAATGGCTGGACCTATCCACCTTTTATCTCTACTGCTGTGATAAAATACTGGAGAGGGAAGTCAGGGCAGGAACTCAAGCAGAGGCTATGGAGAGTGCTGCTTACTAGCTTTGCTTCTCATGGTCTGCTTGGCCCGCTTTTACTAAAAAAATCCTACAAATTTGCCTAAAAGTCAATTTCATTCATGCATTTTATCAATAGAGGTTCCCCCTGCCTAAATGACTCTAGCTTGTGACAAGATGGCAAAAACTAGTGAGGACAATCTGAGAATCATTATACAAGTACAGTTAGTAGTATTGGTGGAAGAGATGAATACATAAGTGGTATAGAACAGAGTCCAGAAATAGGCCCACAGAAATCTGGAAAACTTAATATAGTAGACAACATCAAAGATGGAAGCCATACAACAAAGTAGAAAAACATGTTAGCAAACCTCAAATATCCAGAAACTTTGTATGTAACAAAGTAACTAAACTGTGTCAAGAACTCTAAAGGCTGGAGAGATGGCCCAGCAGTTAGGAGCACTGGTTGTTCTTCCAGAGACCAGGCTCCATTCTCAGCACACACATTGTGGCTCACGGATACCTGCACCTCTAGCTCCAGGGAAACTGACCCCACTCTTGCTTTCACTATGGAAAAACACCCACACATGTTAAAAGAGAAAAAATCTAAAAAACAACAACAACAACAGCAACTCTAAAACACCAGTAAAGAACAAATAATCCAATAGAAAACAGTACTAAGGGCACACAGACATGCCACCAAAAAGGACATCTGAGCTGGATGGTGATGGCACAACTTTAGCCCAGCACTCAGGAGGCAGAGGCAGACAGATCTTTAAATTTGAGGCCAACCTGGTCTACAGACCAAGTTCCAGGAGCTACACAGAGAAACCCTGTCTTGAAATACAAAACACAACAAGCAAACAAAAAGGACATATAAATAGCAAGTACAAGGAGAAGTGCTCAATATCATTGGCCATTAGGGAAACATAGGTTAAAGTCAAGTGACACAAATGACACCCACCACACATTTTCAGAATAGCTACAAAGAAAACCTGGCTTTTCACCAAATGCTGATGATGATGTGGAGAAACTACGTCACTTATGTTGCTAGTGAGAAGGCAAGATTATACACCCACTCTACAGAACAGTTTAGCAAACCCGAGCATACTGGTGCATGCCTATAAATCCAGCACTCAGGAAGCAGAAGTATTAAGAGTTCCATGCCAGCCTGAACAAGAGTGAGACTCAACTCCACCCCATCACAAGAAAGTACTTTAGTCATTCCTTAAAAACTGAAGTATTCAGTTACCATTATCACAACAAACTCACACAAAGAAAAAAAAAGTATAATTCCAGAAGTGATGTCTTGGCTGCTAAAAGCCTTTCCCATAGAATCCTGACAACCTGAGTTCAATCCCTAGGGTTAGGATTTGGGTCATGGTTCTGGTTAAGAGGAAGAGACTCCTAGAAGCTGTCTCTTCACATGGCGTGCATGTGGATGAAAACAGTTAATAGTTACTAATAAAAATTTCGGGTGAGAATGGCCCCAGAGGCTCCTATATTTGAATGCTTGGTTCCTAGTTGGAGTTTTAGGAGTTGTAAAAGGCATGGCTTTGTTGGAGGAAGTATCAGTGGGGGTGGGCTTTGAAGTTTCAAAATCCCATGCCAGGCTCGGTCTTGCTCTCTCAGCCTCCATCTTAGATGAGAAGTGCGCTCTCAGCAGCCACTCCTGTGCCATGCCTGCCTGCTACCATGCTCTCCACCATGAAGACTATGGCCCAAACCCTTGGAAATTGTCAGCAAGTCCAATCAAATGCTTTATTTTATAGGTTGCCTTGGTCATGGTGTCTCCTCACAGCAATTAGAACAGTAAATAAGACATGTGTTTACGCAAATGCTATGAATTAATATAAATAGAACTTTCATTTAAAACAGAAAAAAAATTGAAGTTATTCAATAAATCATTCCAAGGTGGCCACACAAATTATACAAATAGTTCAAACACCATAAAACACTCAGCACGAAAAAGACCTGTCAAGATACAGGATGATTTAGGTGACCTCCAGAAAATAATACAAAATTTAAAAGGACAACTCCAGAAGTTTATGCACTATATACAAGTCTGAAACAACGGATTCTACACAATAGAGTAGTGAGTACGGGAATTAGAGCTGAGAGAAGAAATTCTATGAGCGTCTTATGGCATTTTGGGAAATAATCTATTGGCTGGTGTATATTTAAACAAAGTATAGTATTATCCATAAAATGGAATATTATTCAGCAATATAAAGAAAGACTACTAGCACACATCAACAATAGTATAAATAAGAATCTCAAATGTTATACCAAGTAAGATATAGAAGCAAAGGCTAAATAGTACATGATTCTCCTTCTAGGAAATGTATAGAAAAGTCAAATCTATCTATTGAAAGTGTATTGATAATCCAGAGGTGGTGGTTCATGCCTGCAATCCCAGCACTAAAGAGGCCAAGCAGGAGGGTAAGGAAACAAATGCCAGGCAGGCCTGGGCTACAAACCAAGATTCTACCCAAGAACAAAAGAAAAAGACAGACAGACAGACAGACAGACAGACAGACAGACAGACAGACAGACAGACAGCATATCTGTGGCCACTTGGTTACAAAGAAGGGAAACTACAATGTTAATTTTTTTCTAAAAATGGATTGTATAGATGGGCTGACTGGCTCGTTATCTGTCTTAGGCAACATCTGTGCCCTGACTGAACTTTGTGACCGACCTGGAATCTTGAGGTCTGGGGATGTTCCCAGGTCCTTGAGGACTGAGTCTGGGAAATATTTTCAAGTCCTTGAAGACCACCAGGGGAAGATGTTAAATGTAGCTGCTCATGTACAAGGAGAAGACAGCTTAGTAATTTTCCAACTATTGGAGGGCTAACTGTTGGAGCTCTTCATTGGACAACTACATTAAGGTATTAAAATCATTGAAATAAATACTGACAAGCAGGAAACATCATGGTAAATAAATTTCAGCTCAAAGATGAAAACAAAATTTATAATTGTTAGCACAAATGCTGTCAAGTGTGTCAACTGTGTTATACAACGGGGAATGTCAACATATTAGTGTTAGAAGAACAGTGTAACATAGCAAGCATTTATTTTAAGTCATTATGAAATGCCTACCACGGGGTCTCCAGAACCATCATGGACAGAACCCTTTTGCATGGTCAGTGAGAACTTCACTCATTAACAAATGCCTACAACAAGCAATTTAGCAAATCTTGATTAACAGTGAAGTGTTATTATTCTTAACCAGGCCTGATGGGACACTCCTTTAATCCCAGCACTTGGGAGACAGAGGCAAATGGTCTCTGTGAGTTCAAGATCAGTCTGGGTCTACAGAGTGAGTTCTAGGACAGCCAGGGCTACACAGAGAAACCCTATCTCAAAAAAACAATGATCTGTTGCTATTCCATATTTCAGATACCCCAAACATGATTACATTATCCATACAAATTCATAATTACCTTAATGAGAGCTTTTTTGGTTAGTTTCTGATTAACTTCAGGCTTATTCATTATGTTCTTTGCTCTGTGAGCATATTCCAATGTACTCAAAGTTTCCTGTCATGAAAAGGAAGGGTTAATTACTGAAGGCATGAGGATGGAGATAAGATACTTCTGTTAAATGCACACAGGGGAGAGGGAAGGCTTTTGATGAGGCACTGTGTCATTTCTGCTTTTATAAGTAATCCTTCACTCACATTACTATAAGTAACCCAATAAAAACCATTAGTTCACCAAGGTGACCTCTGGAAATGTCTTTACTTTGGTCTGCCATGCATTTTATCTGAGGGGAGTAGACATTTGTTTATGAGATTCCAGGAACAGTGTCACACAACACCAATGTCCATATAATTAAATATTATACACACATAAAAAATGAAGTGTAGATATAAAGCACAATTTTAACATAGTAGTAGTATGCTAAGTATAAGAGGTCAGTGCCCCAAAAAAGATCTGACTCAGTCTAAGTTCTCAATGAACCCCTACATAGCACCCATCACTATTGACCTAGAGCAATCTTTTTTAATGTGGGTGAGTGTATGTATGTGTGACTGTATACTCTGAGTGGGTCTAGCGCCTGAGGCAGCCAGAAGAGGGCCATCAGTTACAACTGGAGTTACAGATGGTTCTGAGTCACCATGTGGGTGCTGGAATTCCAACACCGGTACTCTGGAAGAGCAGCCAAAGCTCTTAATCATTGAGCCACTTTTTCTAGCCCCAGCAAATTTTTTTCTTTTTAAATGTATGAAGGGTTAGCAAGATGACTCAGTGAACAAAGGCACTTGCCACCAACCCAAATGACCTGAGCATGATCCCTGGAGCCCATAAGGTAGAAGGGGACAACTAACAACCACAAGTTGTTTTCTGACCCCCATCTGTATACCCACACATACACACAAAAGAAGTACACAAATGAATGTAAAAAAATATTTTTTTAGCTGCGAGGTGGTGGTACACACCTTTAATCCCAGTACTCAGGAGGAAGAGGCAGGTGCATCAGAGTTCGAGGCTACCCTGGTCTACAGAGCGAGTGCCAGGACAGTCAGGGCTACACAGAGAAACCCTGTCTCAAAACACAAAAAGAGAAACAAAAGCTTTCTCTTTTTAAATTATGAAGCCAGTTTGATTCCACATGGCTATCATCACAGCACTCCGGAAGCTGAGGTAGGGAGAGCATGAGTTTTAGCCAGCCCAAAAGACACAGCAAATCCCATATCAAAAGAAAACTAACAAAAAAAAGGAACCACTTTGGGAAATCCCTAACTGGCTTTTTATCGTAGTGGCATCCTCTAGAATATGTTCATACACAATGTCCAGATTCTTATATATTACAGAATAGAACGAAACAAGGAAATGAATTTTAAAAATATGACTGTAAGAAAGGCTTATAGTTCCCACATTTGCTGCTTTCTCTCAAAGGGCTTACCTCAAGATTTAGAGACGCCGGGGAAATGGTTGCAATTATAGAAGTTCTTGTACGACCCCCAAGAGAATCTTGCAGGATTCGAGTTAATTTGGATTCTCGATAAGGAATATGGGGTGTTCTTTCCACAAGAGCAGTTATAACTCTTCCCAAAGTCAACAGGGACTGGTTGATATTTCCAGCTTCACGGGCCCTCTTGTCAACTGCTCCAGAACGCCCAATATTTTCACTTCCTGCAAGATCAACCTTTAATTTTAAAAAGAAAATGTCAATCTATTGTATTTGGATTCAAAGATTTGAATTCTTTTATATCTTTTATTGTATATGATGTGCTAAATGGCTAGCAAAATACAGTTTTTATAACATTTCTTCTTTTATTTTACTGAAGTTTACTATAAAAATTATGTAAGTGAAATCCCAAGCTTCTCTAGAAGTAATCAAGAATAGCCAGCACAGTGGCATTAAGACAAGATGCTTACCAAATTCAACTTCCCAATTTTAACAAGCTCTTCTCCGTCAATTGTAGTTTCCTTCATATGTATTGTAACAGAAAAAACTGAATGGGAACGACTAGAAAACAAGATCAGATTGTCCACTCATTACAATGTAAAACATTATTTGTTCCCTAAGAAATATTGAAAACAGGCAAGGAAGATCTAAATGCACAAGGAATACAAAGAGATCATCAGTCAGAAAATAAAACTTGGGATGACAAAACCTCTAGCTGTTACCTACAATAGTGCTAATCCTAATAAGAAGCTATCAAAACTACCCTAGAGCTTTTAGGGCTGGAGATGTAGAGTTTGTATCTAGTACACACCAGTTCTTGGGTTCCATCCCCAGTGACACACACACACACACACACACACACACACACACACAATTCTCAGACACCTCTGAAAAGGAGAAGTGTCTCAGAGCAGACGGCTCCCATCCAGAACCTTGATGATTTATTAATGACATTAGCAGTGGAGAATAAATACTTTTTCATTTCCTTCTTGGTACTTTTAAAAATTCTTATTTTATAAAAGTTATTTAAGTCACAGAAAAGGGGAAGGTGCAAGGAGAAACTATGTATCTTACGTTTTCCACTATTACCCACTGATTTAACTTAAAAAAAACTTTTATCTACTGTGCATAGATTTGGACATATATACAATAAGGGGCAGGGCACATGCCACATGGAGTTGGTTTTTCCTCCTTCCGTTAGGTGGGTGAGTTTCAGTGATCAAACCCAGGAGCTAGGTTTGCATGACAAGCATCTGATCCCACTGAGCCATCTAAGCCCTCCCCACCAGGTTCCAAGATTGTGGAATGCAATTAAGCTTAAATATTAACAATCTTGGGAAAACTGAGTTAACTTTTTTATTTATAAAAAGTGATCTTTATTTAATATGAAAGAAAAAATATATAACCAGACATGGTGGTAGATGTATTTAGAGAAATTTGTTCCTGCCTCCCTTTTCATGAATGCCAGAGTTAATGACTATCTGTGTATCTACACTAAAGTAAAATCATTTTAAAACAAAGATTTGATCTCAATTTCTATAGCTCAAGTGATCAAGTGCTTGCCTAATATGTGTCCTGAATTTAATTCCCAGCACTCAGGAGGCGGAGGCAGGAGGATCTCTGTTAGTTCGAGGCCAGCCTGGTCTAAAGAGCAAGTTCCAGGACTGCCAAGATTGTCACACAGAGAAAGCCTGTATCGAAATGCCCCCCGAAAAAAAATCTTTACTACTTCTGCGATAATTTAACTCGTCTTTGTTGTCCCTCCACAATCTTCCAATATTGCCATACCAAGAACTACCCTTATAGCACCAAATCTACACTATGATGCAGTTCCCTATCCCCTCCTGACTTCAATCCTACAGATTTTTCATAAAGCAAAGGAAAACAGCTCCTTTACCTGGAGTAAGCATTCATTAGGGTTGCTGCAGTTGTCCGTTTTGCTGCCCCCTTCTCCAAAATTTGGTACACTTCATCTTTGTTGTGCACGGTGATTTCTTCTAAACCTTTGATTATCACTCCTCTCTGATCAAATATCAAAAGAGTAACTATTACTTTTTTTTTTGAGACAAGGGATTCTCTGTATTGTTGTGGAGGCTGTCCTGGAACTCGCTATGGGATTAAAGGAGTGCGCTACCAACACACGGCTTCTGTTACTTTTTTTAAAAAAAAGTACACTGACTTTTCTAAGACTCACACACTAAAATTCAGAAACTTTATTCTCAGACTGAGTTACCTTGTTCCGGGGATCATCAAACATCTGCAGCCTCTCAGAGACATCAGTAGATGGACTAAGAAGGTCAAAAAGCTCTTCATTGTAGATTTCCAACAGTGACACTTTGACTGAAAATTCAGTGCCATTATCAGTAAGTTTCTCAAAAATTTGATGAAGAGTACGTGGAATTATACCAGCCAAAGGATCCTAAAATTATATAGATAAGAATTAAACTCAAAATGCCATTTACTACAACAGTTAAAGCATGACAAAGCCCTCCTTCATAGTTTATTACTATATTTGCAATACTGTGGATTAATCCCTAAGGTCTTACACATACTAGGCAAGTATTTGACCACGGAGCTATATCCCATCCCTGTTTTTCCTTTTAGAGACAGGAGTCTCCCTTAAACTGTTCATGTTGGCCCACACTTGAAGTCCTTCTGCCGCAGTCTCTGGGGTATTTGGAATTATGGATGCACACCATCATACTCAACTCTAGTTTACTTAGGGTTTACTTTATAGCCTAGACTGGCCCTGAATCTGCAATTCTCCCAACCCAGCCTCCCAAGCACTAGCATTCTGGGCACAAGCCACCACACCTGGCTTATAGTGTATTTCAATATGAGCCAGTTAACCCTTCTTATCTACTTGATCTGCATTCTACCAATCACAAAAAATACTTGAAGAAAATTTTATCCGTACAGAGCATGTACAGACATTTTTCAGAAGTACAGATAAACTGAGTGCACATGCCAGTAATTGTAGCACTTAAGATATAGAGAGAAGATGATAGGTTCAAGACCAGCCTCAGCTACATAGCAATCTTAAGGTCAGCCTGTGATACATAATAACCTGTCTCAAAACAAATACCTACCCCTCAAAACATAGTACAATTATTTACATAGTACTCTCATTATATTGAGTACTGCAAGTAACCTACAGATGATTTAAACTGTGAAAGGATACATTTAACCTGTGTACAAATAGTAGATCATCTGATGAAAAAGACCTGAACATTCTCATTGGGGTGGGGTGTGTGTGTGTGTGTGTGTGTGTGTGTGTGTGTGTGTGTGTGTGTGTGTGTGTGTGTGTGTGTGTATGTGTACTAGAATCAACTCCTCTCAGTGGATATTAAGGGCTAACTATGACCTAAACATCCTCATTGGGTGTGTTTGTGTGTGTGTGTACACTAGAATCCACTCCTCTCAGTGGATATTAGGGGCTAACATGCCAAAGCAACTTAAAAACTAAAAGCCAAGTCACTTCAATCTGAGCTACTGTCAACCACAATCTAAAAAATACTACGTGGAAAATCCACAAATAAACAGCTGTGAAATTTAAAAAGTGGACATAATACCAAGTAGCACAATAAAATAATGCACCTTAATGCCAGGAACATGAATTACTCCATGACTATATGTGTCTATACTATCTATGCTTCCTACTTGGTAGTCACTTGGTAGTGCTATTGGTTATCAGATCCATTGTTCTAATAGGACAGTGTTAAATATTTCAGTAACTCTTATTTGTATAATCCCAGCACTATAGAGGCCGAGACACAACAACTATTACAAATCCAAAAGCTATAATACAGTGAGTTCTAGGCCAGCCTGGGTTATAGTATAAGACCTTGGCTCAAAAAGCCAAAATAGTGGTAATAACAGTAGTAGTAATAATAATTTTAAACTATCACCTAAAGCAAAATAGCAGTGATTCTGGCAATTTGGATATATCAAAAAGAAAAATGTAAAGTTCATTTAAGTGTCAAAGACCAGTATAATAAAACTAGACACATATTTGAATAACATATTACAGAACAGTGTTACATTTTTATGTTATATTGTTATTACTGATAAAAATTTTATGAAGCCAAATTTATGAATTAGATTCTATTACAGGCACACACTAAGAAAAGACATGGTATACATAACCACTTACTATTTTAGGTACCCACTAGGGTCTTGAAACACTAAACCCTACAGATAAAACAGGATGGTAGTGGGAGAGACTATATTCTACCCCTGCTATTCTAGAGTCTAAGGAGGAAACCCTCCCACACTTTATTATTGTTGTTGTTGTTGTCAGGTTTTTTGAGACAGGCCTTCTGTGTGTAACAACTCTGGCTGTTCTGGGACTCACTCTGCAGACCAAGCTGGGAGACAAGAGATGCTCCTGCTTCTGCCTCTTGAGTGCTGGGATCAAACGCATGTACCATCACCACCCAGCTAGTAGACTCCCTCTTTTTATCACTTAACTGTACTGTATGTGTTGGTTTTATCTCTCCCATTGAGACCATACATTTCTGATACATCAGTAATTTTACTCAAGTACTACTTATTGTATTTTAGTACAGTAAAGAACTTAGGTTCATGGTTGACATGTCTCCCTGATCTTCTGCATCTCAGAGATCCATAACCAGGTTTTTTTGTTGTTGTTGTTTGGTTTTTTTCTTTTTTTTTGGTTTTTCGAGGCAGGGTTTCTCTGTGGCTTTGGAGGCTGTCCTGGAACTAGCTCTTGTAGACCAGGCTGGTCTCGAACTCACAGAGATCCGCCTGCCTCTGCCTCCCGAGTGCTGGGATTAAAGGCGTGCGCCACCAACGCCCGGCCATAACCAGGTTTTAATTGGCCAAATTTTTGCCACACTCAAGGTAAAAAGACATTACAAATGATAAATACCTCCTCCCAGGTATATGCTTCATTAGGTGACCTTTCACCTTCCATTGTAAAAGTTTTTCCAGTGCCAGTCTGGCCATATCTGTCAAGATTTCAAAAAGTATAAATCAAAAACAAATACACACATCTAAACCTCATCAAGTTGAAAATTAGTTGTTTTGCTTACGCAAAGATGGTGCAGTTATAGCCCATAATAACTTCATCTAGAATGGGACAAACAACACTTCGGTAAACATCAATTTGCTTCGTAGATGCTCCAAACACCTATTTTTAAAAAAAGAGAGAAAAGCTCTGAAAACATATCATTCATGGTAATAATTTTGCCCACCAGAACTTAGCTCAACAAACTTGAAGACAATGTTAAGAAGTATGCCATTTTCCACAGCTTTACTTTGCATTAGTGAATAATCACAGAAGGCAGAAGAAAGTAAGTACCATATCAAAAGTATATGTTTTCCTTGAGGTCTTGTCAGTCAGTCCCGCAGTTCGTACACTAACTTCTTTCCGTGCATTATCACATTCTACTACCGAGTGGGCGTTAGCTTTCCTTTCTGTCAGATTAAATGGTCTGTAAAAAAAAATACATAAAGTTAAAGTTAAGAACTTTTAGTTAACAAGTTAAATAATAACACTTTCCTTCACCACATTAATCAGAAAATATGTGTAGCTGGGCAGTGAATGGTGGCACACACCTTTAATCCCAGCACTTGGAAGGCAGAGGCAGGCAGATCTCTGAGTTCCAGGTCATCCTGGTCTACAGAGTGAGTTCCAGGACAGCCAGGCGACACACAGAAACCTTATGTTGAAAAAAAAAAAAAACAAAAAACCACAAAAGAGAAAAAATGTGTAATACTTTTCAAAGATAGGTTAAAACAGTTCTAACAATTCCTTCTTTCTCCTTTGTCCTCTTTTTGAGGCAGGTCTCAGGTACCTCAGGCAGGCTTCAAACTCCCTCTGTAGAGTGCCTGGCCTTGAACTTCTGATCTTCCTGCCTCTACCCACCAAGTACTAAGATTGTAAGTGTGTGCCAACAGAGGCTAACATAATTTAAAATGTAAGGATATCTTTTTCAGAATTCTATTCTTACTTTATCTGTCTGTCTGTCTACTTTGAGGCAAAGTCTCTCTGTAGCCCTGACCTTAACTCATAGAGATCCTCCTGCCTCTGCCTCCCAAGTGCTGGGATTAAAAGCATGTGCTACTATACCCAGCTCATATCTCCAATATTCTTAAAATGTGACTGTTAGGTTATGATATAATAGAAAGAACATCAAATTTGTATGCCATCTATAAGCCTTCCAGAGGCTATATGGCACAAAATAATAAGTATACAAAATTAATGACTCAAGAATGGTTGTCAAAAGTCTGGAATCCCAGCTACTAAGGAAGTTGAGGCAGGAGAAGCTCAAGTTCAAGACCTGCCTGAGCTACAGATTGAGTTTAAGTGCAGCTTTGGAAATTTAGTAAGAGTTGGTCTCAAAAAAAAAAAAAGTGCAGTTATAGTTAAGTAGCACAGTGTTTGCACAGCCCATGTGAGGCCCTCGGTCCAATGCCCAGCACAATTATTCCAAGAGTATTATGCTAACTCACTGTGTTAGTTTCTCAACCTGAAGTCAACAGCAACACTATCCTCGTATTTCAAATGACAAACAAGCACCGAAGTGCTACCCTGACCAAGCAGAAGAGGTCACTGGTCTTCACTCTGACAAAATGCCTAGGTTTAAGTACTATTTTACAGGAGCTCAGGATCGTACTTGTGGTCCAAGCAAGAGTGAGGAGCAGGGCTTGGGTCACCAAAATGCACTTAAAAGCCAAGCTGCCTGTGATGTCTGAGAAGATATGATGAGAAAAACAACAATAACTTGATCTCTTCTAAATATCTGTAAACAGCTGCTTTTTCTCCAGCTATTTTTGCAGTTTTGTTCTCAGGGCTTATCTGGATGCTTGCCTGTACCTTGCCTCCAGCTTGTTTTCATTGTTTATTTGGTTGGTTGTTTCTCTTTTATCCATGCCAATGTTATCTGCTACTGGGTGTCCAAATTGCTTTCTATTTCTATAAAAATAGTTTTACTTTCTTAAGAAAATAAGAAAAAAAAGCCAAGTATGTCCAAGTCACCTGTCAATCCCAGAACTTAGAGGCAAAGACAGGTGACCTGTGAGGCAAGCTGGCTAGCTAGAACAGACAGAATTGTAAGCTCTGGGTTCTGTGAGAGGGTTCTGTGAGAGATCCTGGGCTATCTAGCAAGATATCCAAGGTCAGCTCCAGGCCTACACATGCATGCACACACAAAGATAAATTTTTAAAGGTGGGGAGGGCGGGTTTGGGTGGGAGAGTGAGATAGCTCAGTGGGTAGAGGTGCTTGCTACCAAGCCTGAAAAGTTGAGCTCAATCCCCAGGACCCACATGGTGAAAGGAAGGAACCTACTACCACAAGCTGTCCTCTGTCCTCTACATATGCCCCCAACCAATAAATAAAACAAGATGAGCTCAGCTGGCAGTATGCCTAGCATGCACCTTTCTCAAAATGAAACCCAGGGGTTCCTTGTCGTGGTGTTCTTCTGCACTCTTCTTCCCACAAATAAGGGCTCATTCAATTTTTGTTGCAGGTTCCTACCAGATTTTTTTGTTTGTTTGTTTTTCAAGACAGGGTTTCTCTATGGCTTTGGATGCTGTCCTGGAACTAGCTCTTGTAGAACAGGCTGGCCTGGAACTCACAGAGATCCGCCTGCCTCTGCCTCCCAAGTGCTGGAATTAAAGGTGTGTGCCACCAATGCCCAGCTACCACATTTCTTTTTTTTTTTTTTTTTTTGGTTTTTTCGAAACAGGGTTTCTCTGTAGCTTTGGAGACTGTCCTGGAACTCACTCTGTAGACCAGGCTGACCTCGAACTCACAGAGATCCGCCTGCCTCTGCCTCCTGAGTGCTGAGATTAAAGGCGTGCGCCACCAACGCCCGGCTACCACATTTCTTTTTAAAGGTCATTTCTCATAATCACCCATTAGCGTTAACAGAATTCAGACTATTGTTTAGTTTGCTATATCCCCAGTACCCAGTACTATGCTTGGCACTGTATCAAGCTATATTACTTAATAAATTTCATCCTAAAAGGAATAATGAAAAAAACTAAGTAAACTGAAAATTAAAACATCCTATTTTATTTCTGGGGACTGTAACCTTTATAAGTCAACAGTCTTGCTATACCATTATCAATTTAGCCCCCATGTAATCCCTGTCAAAAAACACAGTCTACAGAGTAGCAGCCACAACATTTATATGCTTAATACATAATTGAGCCAAAGGAATCAACTTGAGTTACTTATCCCACTGAGTATGAACATTATGTAAAGAAGTAGAAAACCTCTTCCCCTCATTGCTAGGCAACCAAGGTGCTATTTATTTATGATTCATACCTTAACTTATTTTCCCGTACCTAATTCACTAGCATATCATTGAGTGGTCAGAAGAACAAATTTGTGATCTTGGGAAATTTTACTCCTAGGTAATAACAATGCTGTCATTTTGCCACTATACTGAAGCCTACACAATGCATATTACCAACAAAAATATACGTTATTAAGAGTTCACTAGGGCTGGGCGTTGGTGGCCACACCTTTAATCCCAGCACTCGGGAGGCAGAGGCAGGCAGATCTCTGCGAGTTCAAGGCCAGCCTGGTCTACAGAGTGAGTTCCTGGACAGCCTCCAAAATAATACAGAGAAACCCTGTCTCGAAAAACAAAAACAAACAGACAAAAAAAAAAAATCAAGAATCAAGAATCAAGCAAAAGGAATATTAGAAAATATTTGGAATTCAATGGAAATGGAAACAGAGCACAACCGAGGTTGGGGAGGGAAACCATGTGACCTGAAAGCAGAAGGGGCATTTAGAGAGGAAAGGTAAACCAGAAAACAAGGGGTCAACCAAGATGAGGGGTGTTAGTGAGGGAATAAGGACACAAGGTCTCCTTATATGTATGAAAATACCCAAATGAAACCACTCTTTATGCTAACTTACACACGCACGCGCACAGGCAAACTTGCTAAAAACAAAGCCCATAATAACACAAAGTCAGTGCTCAATGCTAAGCAGTGCAAATCCTTTCCTTAAAAAACAAGAAGGGGAGCCGGGTGGTGGTGGCGCACGCCTTTAATCCCAGCACTCGGGAGGCAGAGGCAGGCGGATCTCTGTGAGTTTGAGGCTGGGCTGGACCCATAGCCTCCAAAACAATACAGAGAAACCCTGTCTCGAAAAATCAAAACAAACAAAAAAAAAAAAACAAGAAGGGGAAGGAAAAAAAAAAGAAAAAGAAAAATCCACAAACATCCTAACACTGCAATTTAAACAAATTAATCTCAAAGCCAGAAAGCAGGAAAAAAAAAATAGAGCAAAGATAAAATTGAAAACTAGATAAAAACAATGAAAATCATAAATTGACAAGCCTTAGCTAGGCATACTAAGAAAAAAAGCTTAAATTACTAAAATCAGAGGTGAGAGTGTTGATAATACTAATAATTTTATAAAAATAATAAATGTAGTAATACGAACAACTGTGACCCAGCAGAAGAAATTCCTAGAAATACAAAACTTGCAAGCAAATCAGCGGTGAGGAGGTGGGAGGTGGGAGACAGAAGGTTGGGGTGATGGGGAGGTATCATCTCCCAGCAAAGTCCTGCTCCCTCATCTCTATCTTCTGAGAGGCAACAGCAGGGCCGAGAAGTTCCAGGAGCTGCATACTTCAGAAGTAACTGGCTAGAACGCTTGTGCACCCTCACTGGAGAGGGTCACTCCAGAAAGTGCAGATGCACTCCTTGAAGACAGACTACGAGGGATGAGCTACCCTAGACGAATGTAGGGGACAGACCCTCACCAAAAGTAGCCAGGCACAAACTGGGAGGTAAAGTCTATGATCTCTGCTCTGCAAAAGATGAGAAGTCAAGCTCCCAAATCCCACAAGAGAAGACCCAGGCTGAATTGGGCAGCAACTGGGACTCTGTCCGTGTGGTGCTCCTATACGGCAACAGGAGTCCTAGCATCAACTCTTAAGTCCTATGTAGTCCTGGCTTTCTCTAATAAAGCTAGTTTATCCAAGCAGAGGAAGGCATTGAAGGAGAGGGAAGAGGAAGGAGAGACTGACCCTGAACCTCATGGTTTCAAAGTGAACTCTACCAAATAATTCAAGAGCTATTATTTTCATGCCCTTTGAGAAAAAGGTAAGGGAGGTGTGGTGGTTTGAATGAAAACAGTGCCATAGGGAGTGGCACTACCAGGAGGTGTGGCCTTGTTGGAGGAAGTGTGTCATGGGAGTAGGCTTTGAGGTTTCAAATGCTCAAGCCAACCAAGCCTAGAGTCACTCTCTTCCTGTTCCAGCCAATTCAGATGCAGAACCTAAACTCTCTCTCCAGGACCATATCTGCCTGCATGCCATCATGCTTCCCATTATAATGATAGTGGGCTAAATCTCTGAACTGTAAACCCTACCCAATTAAATGTTTTCCTGTATAAGGAAATAATTCCCTATGAATTCGAAATTACAGAGCCATGATGGTGGATGCTCGGGACAAGAAGTCAAC